ACATCCTCAGCCCACCTTCGATTTTGGCAGCTTTCAACACCAGTGCAATGCCTATCAGAACACCAGCTTGAAATACGACTGTGAGAGCAGCACTCCGGAGGAATCCATGAACTTCAAGTCCAGCCCAGACTTTCATCTTTAAGCAGAGATAGCCAATATCTCACTGTCATGAAATAGCAGAAAACACTCCAATTGCATCAATACACCAACATTTTCTCCAGAGGGACCCTAAGAAAGCTGCCAGCTCCAGTTGACTTAAGAACCATATCCGGTCAAAAAATACCAGAATCAGCTAATGATACAGACTTAAAAGGACAGAGGGTTGTTGCACAATTAGAAACATACTTTTTTTCTACTAAAACAACTTCTGCTTTGTAGTTTAGATATTGTTATCAAATGTCTTCCTTGTAAACAAGAAGCTTTTGTACCTGTCAAACGCGCTCTGGAAGAGGACTAACCTAGGCAGCTGCCAGGCCACCCAGGTGCAACATCCAACCCTGCTGTGAGCGGCTGCATCCAGGAAGCTCCAGTGGGAAGCCATGCAGGCCTTCAGCCTGAACAGCCTAAATGCTCTTTGTCAACAGCAGTTTATTGTGATTAAACTGGCTTTAGAAGTAGCTCGGAATTCATAGGAAGGTACAGAAATAATCATAAGAAAACAAAACAAAAAAGGGAAAAAGGACCAAATGCAGCAGTTTCTATTTGTCCGGAAGCGAATGTGCTCACACTGAGGTTTTTCTGCCAATAAATAGCAGTAACAAGTCCCTTCAACTCCCAGGGCACTGTTTTCTCAAGGGGTAAAATGCAATTTCCTTCACATCAATCTTTACTGCTCTCCTTGAAGGTGACAGATGCAATGACAAATGCTCCAAAACATTTTAATTATGACTGCTGTGAAGTCTGTGTCTGGAGCCTTCTGCAGTTAGAGGAATGGGCCTAAACCAGAGTTTTGCAATGAACATTTGTAGCAAAAACCTGTGTGTTTATTGATGGCTGCAATATTGTGCACATTCACCTGGGCTAACTGGATTATTCCAGGCTGGTGATGCTCCTTCTAGCAAACAGAAACTTTGCTATCACTTTTGACACGAGACATGCTGCCTATGAGAATCCTCATCCCACTGCAGGGCCATCCTGACGACCTCCAGTTCTACGACCTTCCCATGCTGCAGATTAAAGGTGGTGTTTTTAAGAGAGAGCACTGCAACCTTGCCCCAGCATTTCCTGCAGCCAGGGTAGCCAAGGATGCTGAGATGAAAACACTGCTGCACACAGGCCAGTTACCAAGCCAAAAAGCTTCAAGTGCAATGATGACCAAACACGACACTTGGGTGAGGAATATATTATTTTTAGCCTACATTGTAATAGCCACAGGCAACGTCTGGCAGAAGATAACACATGCATGCACAATTTAGTTCCATGAGTGTGCACACACACACACATATATAGATATGTATAGACATCAGCAGTGGTCAGCTCCTTCCCTGTTCCTCATTAGGAATGTCTGGACCAAGAGAGTTGAATGTTCCTGAACTCTTGGGCTCTTACCAGCATTACACTTTTTTTTTTAATTTCCTGTAGTTATAAAAACCAGAAGACATAAGGAAAGGATTCCAGCTAAGGGTGTCTTGCTCACATTTTGGAAACCATCTCCTTGTCATGTGTGTATGCAGGTGCTGGAAGGCAGTCATTTCCTGCTAGATAAAAGCATTCCAGTTTGATGTCAATCACTTGGGACATTTTTAAGCAATAGTGTAAATATGCTGAATGAAGATCTGATCAAGTGAGAAGCATTTAAGAGATATTTATTTAACCCAGGCTATTAAACATGCACACATGTATATGTAAACAAATAACTGAATTACCAAGTAATCATGTCCTTAAATGCCAGTGTGGCATATGCCAAATATTGAAATAATGTGAAACTGAAAAAAAAACCCAGGCATCTAAAGCTGTATTCCTAATTCTATGGCAGTTATTCTCCATGTGATATGAGAATGCACAAGTGAAGAACTATCTTAAGGGCAGAAACAAATCTATGCTTGTGCCACAGGAGTGGTGTAAGAGAGCATTTACTGCTCTATTTCCCAAGTTTCCTTTCCACTTCTGACAAAAACACGACTTTGATCCTCCCAAACCTGCTTAAACTATGTTGGCAAGTTTAAAGTAAAAACAAAACCACACACACACACACATCTCCTAAACCCCATGCAAGAACTCTGCTCCCTATATCAACATAACATACATCTTTACCAGCCTAAAAACAATCATAGAAACATGCACTGAACATGTTGGGAGATACTGTTTTTCAGCCTAAGGCAACCACATGCCTTACTGCCTGTACTAAAAAAGAGTTGGCCTGTTTTGCAATGCCCACACAGACTGGCATTCACACTGACAAGGTCTGTTTGTTTTTCTCTAGAAGTCTGTGGAATATGCTCAGCTGGAATATCTAACCATGGAATAATAAAGATGTTTACAAGCATTCTGAATCTGATTTACTTTGCATTTTCTTCCCTGCTCTTTTTAGAAAGTTAATGTATCACACAAACACGTATTTCATGTTATCCTTCCCCCATTCATCATATTCACTGATTAATTAAGGAGCATTTAAGGCTCACCAACACAGCTTTAAATGCTCTGAGCTACTTGGATTACAGTAACTTGTAATGCATCAAGCCCCAAAAGAGAGACTTCACAGAAATGACAACAAATGATGAAAGGGCTTTATTGTGCAAAGATTTCAAAATGCTGGAAATCCTTTTGTATTTCCCTCCACATCACTTTTTCCTCCCCTCCCCTGGCTGGGAATAAGGAAACAGCCAAGTTATTCTATAGCTGGTTCCCACCACGCTAACGTTCTGGTTCCCATTGTGCTGCGCATTCAAGCAAAAACAAGAACAAGCATTAACAGCTCCATTCCCATCCATCCACCAGACAGGAACTCGCAGATGCTTCATTACACACCTCCTGCTGGCACTGATGAGGCAGAGGACTTGTATAGAAAGGAGGGGGGGACTCAGACAAAACACAAGAGTCATTGTAATTGTTCCCATTCCCAATTCTGTGAGCCCATGTTAGCCAAACATCCTACTACTTTCAGCTTTCCTCGTTGGTAAAAAATACAGGCACTGTCAACACCGCCTGGAGAACCTCTCGGATTGTGCAAACATCACATCCGCGAGTTTAAAGAAGACAGGAGGAGGAGAAAAAAATGAATCATTTTCTGTAATTGGAATTTTATTTTATATATAAATAATAAAGAGACTGAGGGATTTTGAGACTTGCTACTTGCAATGTTGATCCTGCAATGGGACAAGCATGGGCAGCCTTGAGTCCCACTGCAGAACAGAGGACCAAGTCTCAAGACTGACCCAAAACACGTAGTGTCCTTTCACAGAAGCCATACCAGAAGCCCGAGCAGCAGATCATCAGCCTGTCCTGAGGCAGAAGGCAGATTAGTCACATTCAAAGTGGATTCAAATGGTTTTCATATTTTTCCTGGGAAATCGTTGCTCATATCTATATTTTTATTCACCTATAACCAAAGAAAGGGGACAGAGATTAAGGGGAAAAGGAAAAGAGGGAGAAAGAAGAATTAAATTTATCACAGGCCTTTTCATTTTTACAGTGCAATCAAAACCTTTTTCTTTGATGTGGCAAGTTGATCAAAATCTGTTTGAGGAACATTCTCAACATCAATTTGCTTGCAGTAGAGATATTTAACTCTTAGTATTACTGACATTAGAGCACTAATGATCACATCTGTTCTAGAGGACTCGATTCCCATAGTTGAACTAAATGGAAAGACAAAAGGGAACACTTCAAACACCAACTGGAATCTTGTATAATAAACCAGCTTTCTCAAAAAGAATTATTTTTGAGAAATTCCCATCAAATGCATGTTTTTTAATCTTACTTACTCTGGAGCAAGACTAGGGCGATTTAACTCAAAGAAATGGAATGACATAAATATAGATCTGAAACAGACTGAAAATAAGATATGCCATCTTCATGAAAAAACACAAAACCTTGCCACTTCTGTGCAACTCCCAAATCCAACAGCTGGAAAAAATTAAAGTTTTTTTCTTCCACAGTGGGATATGGTTTGAGCTGAAGTTTGCATATCATTTTTGATGACAAACAAACTAAAATAATAAAGGAGCTGCAATGCTGCTGGTTTTTGGAATAGAGAAATATGTTGCTGTCTTCAACCCAATATGATTTTGTCCTTGGCTAACCATTCACAGTTCAGAGACCCATGCTGTGGCAAATCATTGAGAAAATGAGATTGTCTTTGTTTTAGTAACCACATTCAACTTAGGAATATGACCAACAGTTGAAAATGCAGGGAGGCTTTCAGGACTGATTTCATCCAGAATTAAAAAACGTGTCTTTTCAAAGATCATAGCAATGTTCTCCAACCTTTGGGATCACCCAAATCCAACAAAACATCTGGATTTTGGTATGGAGTTAAATGACAGGATTTGATTTCAAGCACAAGTAACAAATTGCCACCCCCGCACAACAGCTGAACTTGATACTGAATTGAACTTTCACCATCTGGTTCTGCTAGGTCAAAAATCCAGCAGTTCCCTTCATGTGCCTCTTCCAGAAACAACATGAGGTGAAGCATGGAGGTTTCAAAACCAGGAGCACTCAGGTCTTCAGGCTGTTGGGCAATTTATCTTGACTCTCTTAAAACCTTCCCCAAACAAAGAAAATGTGCCTGAAGCAAAAGGCTGACATTTCAAAAAGCGAATAAAGGCCTAGCAGAAATTATATTCATAGCAAGAAATTCTAAAATAAAATAAAATAAAAATAAAATCTATTTATGGATTTCTGTTTGAACCTTGGTATTTGTGCAGTGTCACAAACAAAAGTTCAGTTTTCCTGGGTTTTTATCATTTAGTAGCTCTGTCCTAGTTGACAAGAAGGACAGTATTTCAGTGAATTTTAGGGAGGCTTTTCTTCCTCTCAGTTCTCCTGGGATTCTTTACACCAAAAAAAAAAAATTAAATCCTCCTATTGTTTTTTTAGTTTTTATTTTACATTACTATCTTACAAACTACTTGGAAAGCACATATTCGTAAAGACATTACATTCATAGCTCTAAAGGGAAAACTAAGGTACTCAGTACATCAGCCAGTCAACAAGCTCATGTTGCTCTTGTGAGAATTAGCAATAGCAATTAAAAACACTTTAAGGGAGCCAGTATTAAAAACTAGGTTATCTTTTAAAGCTGCCCATGTAGCAGTGGAACGCTGCTGCTCAGCCGATGCGTGTATTCCACCACATCTGCAAACATATGTGACTGATGCTGGTGCATGGAAAAAAATTGATCCAGTTTGCCACATTTGGACTCTATTTACACAAGTTGGCAGTAAGGGAAAAAAAAAAAAATTCTGGTAAATGCAATACTGCATACAAAAATGGTGAGGAGTACCTATAATGCCAGGGTCACTTTCTGATGAAAAGCAAGTTTTTAACATGATGCAAAAATAATACAGGGCGAAGAGAAGCAAGTAGAAAACATGTTCAGAAGAGACATTCTTTATCAACTGATAACAGAGCAGACATCAAACATTCTGTGCTAAATTATGTCCAATTATGTTGCAATTATTTCTAATAAGCCTCAAATACAGAGCAATTTTTATCCTACGAAACCAAACCATCATAAAAAAGTCAAGAGGATGTTCTGTTTTGCTTTTCTAGAAACTGTAATCATAGGCTTTGCTTGAGTTTAGAACACAGCCCCGAGGCCAAGTCAGAACTGGTATCTCGAGTTTCTGCCTTGGAGAGCCTGGAAAATGCTGCCTTCATTTCCTCCATATTTTGTTCCCAACAGGAGCTGCATTAACATGGAAGGTCAAGCACATTATGGACTCTTACAGGCAGTAAGGCAGTGCTGTACCCTGGCACTCACAAATCTTTAGAGAAAACTTATCAGCAGGGAAGAGTTTTCTTTCCCCACACTAATACTTGTACAAGGATGACAAAAAAGGCAAAGAGATTTTTAGTATGGGAGGCAGAAATGGGAAGATGAAAAAGAAAATAAAAGGCCAAAACCAACCAACACCACAATCACAAGGCTTTCCTCAATTAATTCAGAACTCTTCAAAAAGACACACATTTACTTGTTATGCTCTAAAGATGAAGAATTTAGATTTCTTAACTTGGATAGTGTTAGGAACTACATATATTCTTGACAAATTTTAGGACAAGTAAAATTATCTGTCCACACTCTCCTAATAATTATAAAGAAAACTATAAGTCTAACTTGAAAATGTTCAGCTTTTCCCAGTTATTCTGCTGCTTAGCCACAAACTATTACCAGTCTTTACCCTTTACCTGTTTGATGCCAGGTGATGTAGCATTCTACTTCTGGGTTTGCTCTTTATTTGAAGCAGCATGGACTTCCAGAGGCTTGTCACCAACTGCATCACCCTTGAGGAAGAAAAAATGAGAAAAAATGTGCACAATGTTTCAATTGAGGCAATCCATGATTAATGCTTTTACCAGAACAGAAATCCTCTTCAAAAGATGAGACAAAAATATCTCACAAAATCAAGGGTTTCATGAGACTAATTCAGTATAATACACTCAAATATGATCTTCTACCAAACACTTTCTAGACTTTAGTCTTCCTGTAGCTAGTCAAGCAATTAAAGGATTTGAAAGAACAAGTCTTTTCAACAGAAGTGCTTTAATGGAATAATTTTGCCTGTATTAATAACAGAGGATGAATACTCACAGAGTAGCTGCTATTTTGCATTCTCTGAATTCTGTGTGAATTTATACAATAGGTCTCTTTTAGCACATATCCTTTTAGAGGGTGTTCTCACACTTTCCCCAACATTAATGACAGAAATCAAAGAATGAAAAGAAGCTTGTTATAGGGTCTGGTCTATCTGTTTGCCAAGGTGCTATAACAAACATGCATTTGATCACAGCTTTAAATAGATATCCATTTAAAAATACTTCAAGGGCCACACACATGGCTTGGGGACTGAAGCACATGCAAGGACAAGCTGTGATGAGGATGTGTTCAGGCTTGTGAAGACCAGACAAAGAAGAACCTAATTCCTATCCACAATTTCTTAATGGGCATTTATGTATTTGGAAGAGCCAGGTCCTTCTCAGAGGTTCACATCTAAAGGACAGGGAGAAAGGAACAGAAGAGCATGGCAAATTTCACTTAAATCAAAAGGCAAAAAATTATAAATATATTACACCACCGATCACTGGAGCAGGTTTTCCTGAGAACTTTCTAAATCTCCACCCCTGGAAATATTCAACACATGACTACATAAGGCCTGAACCACCAAATCTAATTTTGATACTGTCTCTGCTTTGATTAGGGGTTTGGGTGAAATAATCAGAGGTGGCACCCACCCTCAATTGTTCTTAAATTCTACACATGGAAATTAAAGGCATTTCCTCTTTATTCTAGAAGGCTATTTTTACCAACATGACTTAAATAAAGAGATGACTGGTGACAGCCAGCATGGCTTCACTAATGGCAAAGTGTGCCTGACAAATTTGGTGGCCTTTCACAGCAGTGGTGGACAAGGGAAGAGTGACTGATGTCACCTCTGACTTGTGCAGAGCACTTGACACTGTTCTGCAGGACATCCTTGTCTCTGAACAGGAGGGACATCGATCTGATGGATGGACCACGCGGTGGATATTGGCTGGATGGTCACTCTCAGAGCTGCAGCCATCAGTCTGATGTCCGAGTGAGACCAGGGACAAGTGGTGCTCCCCAGGGCTCAGTGCTGGGACCGGCGCTGACATCTGTCAAATCTGTCAGCAGCAAGGACACTGGGATGTGGGGCACCCTCAGCACATCTGCCAACAATCCCAAGTGTGGTGGTCAAGATGCTGTAGGGAAGGGATGTCATCCAGAGGGACCTTCACAGGCTTGAGAGGTGACTCATGTGAACCTCATGAAGTTCAGCAAGGCCAAGTCCTGCACCTGGGTTAGGACAATCCCAAGCACAAACGCTGTCTGGGCAGAGAATGGATTGAGAACAGCCCTGGGGAGAAGGATTTGGGGTTGCTGGTTGATGAAAACCTCAACATGACCTGGCAATGTGCCCTTGCAGCCCAGAAACCAACCATGTCCTGGGCTGCTTCACAGGTAGTGTGAGCAACAGGTCTACTTTGGTCTGCAGGTCTTAGAAGCAAACCAGGAGTGCTGTGTCAGCTCTGGGGCCTGTGACATCAGAAGGATGTGGACTGGTTGGAGCAAGTCCAGGGGAGGCCAGGGACATGATCAGAGTGCTGGAGCACCTCTCCTACAAAGACAGGCTGAGCGAGTTGGGATTGTTCAGCCTGGAAAGGAGCAGGCTTTGGGAAAATTTCTAGCAGCTTTCCAGTGCCTAAAGGGGGCTACAGGAGAGCTGGAGAGGGACTTTTCAGAAGGCCCTGAAGTGACAGGACAAGGGGTAATGACTTCAAACTGGAAGAGGGCAGGTTTAGATTTGATATTGGGAAGAAATTCTTTGCTGTGAGGGTGGTGAGGCACTGGAACAGGCTGTCCAGACAAACTGCTGATGCCCCATGCCAGGAAGTGTTCAAGGCCAGGATGGATGGGGCTCTGAGCAACCTGATCTAGTGGAAGCTGCTCCTGCAGGGGGATGGAACTAGATTATCTTTAAATCTCTTCCATCCCAAATCCTTCTGTGATCCTATAATACTAAATGTGATGGAAAATGCAGCAAAAGAAGCTAGAATAGACTGGAAAATGTTTCAAAGAATGGGTCAAATGTATATATTACCAGTTAAACATGACAAAACACCAAGTCTGTGCAATCCTGCATATTCTGTGCTGGAGATATGGACTCAATATATCAAGATTCAATTATGAAGATTTTTCTTAAATGTCTTATTCCAAAAATGCCCAGCAAGACCTTTAAAAGGTAATTCTTTCTTTCAAAAATCCATTTTGTTTTGATTACTACCCTGAATATTTCATAGTAGAGGAAATCACATCCACAAACCACATCCATTTCAAAATAATAATCTACTCTGTAATTTGCCTGTACAGGAACTTTTAAGTTATGACATTTTACTAAGATTTACAATGAATAATCTGACTAACGATGCCTTATCTCAGAGTTTACTCAAAGCTCAACAAATGAACTAAAAATAAACTCCTCACAGAGAAGCCTGTGTTTTTCCATTTTCTTGTTTTAACTTGTAAAAAGTAATTATTGTCTAGGTAAGTTGTTTTTTTGGTTTTTTTTTTTTTTTTTTTCCTCTGAAAGAGGAAAACAATCTAAAGCAACACACACACCTACACAAGAGAACAGGGGTCTTGCTAAATTCCTTTGTTTCTATGAGCTCAGGAGATCCCATCACAGGGCTTGCCTTCAGTATCACTATTAAGCCTGAGTTATTTAATTAAAGCCAACCCACTGATAGACTATCATTCCTCACACAAAGTCATTTGCTGGATTAGCAATTAAGAAGTTTTTAACTCCATCCACTGTGTATGCCCACTGTGTAAATGGTGAGCCTAAGTGAGACAGCTCAAGCAGTAATGTAAGTTTGCCAGAAAAGGAATTCCTGTGGCACAGGCACATGATTTTAGAAAAAAGTGCCAAAGCCCTCTAGCACACTCAAAACCAGGTCAGAAGCAAAAAATATGTTTAAATCAATGACTCAGAAGACAGATTTCCTCTGTGCCAGGGTACCCTCTCATAACCAGAAGCAGGAATATATTCAAGACAGTCTTTCTACTTTTTGGCTCAACATAACCACTCCATAACAAATCTGGGTGGCCAGAGGAGTTAACATATCAGAGCTCTATTCCACAGCAGAAAAGGAAATATTTTGCATTCTTGTGTTTCTGACTGTTTCGAGTGAAAGGTGACTGATAAGAAATCTCCATAATACATTAATTATCAAATGTTCAATACATAGGGATTTCTTGGGATTAAAAAAATAAAAGAAATACACTGGTGCTAAGAGGACTGTACAGTTTCAGTATGTGAGAGATTAAAAACCACCCCAACTTAGCTCACACAGCATCTAACAGAGATGCATTGAGACCTAAACTTTAAACTACAAACTGCAAAAAACCCCACCATGATTACTCTGAAAATTTTCCTTCCATACAAAAAAAAAACAAAAACCCAAAGGAAGCCAGCTAAATGTCAAACCCCCAAACGTGTGGTGCCTCTTTCCCTTACATTACAGCTGAGCCAGGTGCAGAAGTTTCTGTTGCTACCTCAGAAGCCTTGCAGATGGCCAGACTCTTTTACACTAATCTTAGCAATTATAACTTCAAAAGCATATAAGATAGGTATGTATCTTTTATGCTTATGGAAACTCTTATGGAAACTCTTGAGAGGGAAAGTCTGGCCACCAGAAAAAAAAAAAGGCATCTGCAAAAGAAAAACTAAGGCTCACCTGGGTTTACAGATTAATAATTTACCTTCTGTCCTCTTTTGTTTGCAATGTATTGCTTGGAATAAAGAGAACATCACTGCCTTACCTAATTCATCCTCCTCAGTCAATTAGTAACTCCTTCTTTGTTTACTTAAGTTGACCTTGAACTTAATTCTCACAAAAATATGAAGTACTTTCAAAAATATTGCTCTAAGCTGCCCTTAGAGAGATTAGCTTTTTGCAGAGCACATTCTTTCTGTCCATCCCACTTCTAGCACATCTAAATTCCCCACTGCCCATACTGAGGATCCACTCCAAAAGAAGTAATATTTCTTTCAAGTTTCATAATGTTTTTATTCTTACTACCAAACAATAAAAGGAGGGTATGTGACAGGAAACAGCATTTTCTGCCAGAAGTAGATGTTTATCTTTCAGTTGAGATGATCAAATTTTTGCCTGCCTATTCAAAACCTACCAAAGCCAAGCCTGAAGAGCATTTTCTGTAGAAAGAAGCTCTCTCAGCTGCTTGTGTTGTAATGACCAAAATACATGTGACTTCAAAACTCTCTTAAAACACAATTTAAGGTTTTATGGTCTCAGTCTGTGATGCTGACTGTGAGGCTCCCCAGCCAAAACAGTGACACCACAATTTTCAACAGAGCTTACAGGTGAGGAAGGTTTTGGTCCACAATCTCCTTGACACTTGTTCTAAGCAAGTACAGGATATCAGCAAAAGCTGAGCCCTCTCCACACCTGGAAACATTCTGTAAGCAGTTAGCACTTAATAAAATACCCAGAGATTGCCATAGTGATAGATTCTAAATATATTTTTATATAAATATATCTATATATTTTACATGTGTAATAAAAACATATGGGTTTAAAAATTATATGTATTATATATTTGCATTGCTAAGTCACTAGTGGTGTCCATCAGCACACCAGCACACACAGAAAGGAATGAAAACCAAATAATATGCCATAAAAGTTTATCAGTCTCTGAAGCTGAAAGGGAAATTAGTTTTGTGTGAGATTACATTACTAGTTGGGCCAAAGTGGGAAAGAGCAAATACAAGAAGAAAGGAACAAGGGCTGAAAGGAGGGTGCACTTAAGAGCTGTAGTGCTGTTCTGCTTTTACACAATTTGGCCACTAAAAACAAGGGGTGCCCAATTGAGTGTTGCTGGAAGAGAGAGAATACAAGATTGTTAAAAATACAGCAAAAGTGAGAACTAAGAGAAGAAAAATATTTTTCTGTGTGCTTCAGTTTTAGCAGAGAGATTTTATCCTGGCATCCTGAAGAGCTCCATCCTTCAACAGCATATTAAAAACATTTATCTGACTGACTTGCTCTATGGAGGGGATACAGCTACAGTGTTTTGAAATGTAGGCACAGAAGGTCCCAGAATTCATCTTTCTTGGCAGAACTCAGAATTCAGTTGCTATGACCTCAATTTGGCACAGGATTTTGTTTCATAAAACCTTCAGAATAATTAACATACCACATTTATTTTAATGACATATTGCTGCATAAACATGAAGTTATGCACAGCTGTGGTACCTATGACTATCAAACAAATTATGAGCAACGTAACAAATTATCAGAAGCCAAAAAGAGCCACCCATATATTGACTATTTGCAAGAATCCTTTGTGTAGCAACAGGAAAATGCTGGAGTAGATGTCACAAAAACAAAAATAATGTCTTTTGCTCTGGCATAGTTTCATGAAATGGGTTACATCTGCTGCAACAACAACTCAAGAGTAACATTTAGACCTGTCTTCATTATTTCAGGAATCTAGCTGCCTAGAATGACAGTAAGAAATACATATACAAAAGCAACCAAATTCTTCCACAAGTCTGTCAAATTAAGCCAGAAGTCACAGAATCTATCCTACAATGCTTTGCCAATTTTAGTATATGATAGTTAAAAGCATTTTCTTCCATAACACTTCTGTATGAGTAAAAGCCTCCAATAAAATTGAACTTAAATAGAAATTCTTCTGCTTGAAAAGTTGATACTGATTTGGTGGCACTAATAATCTGTGTAATTATTTTCATATGGAACAAAGCTAAACCAAACCCATCTGTTCCACCCAGATTCTCAACTATCTATTTCGTAGGGTTTCATCACCCCAGGCTAAAGGCAGCTTCAGAGCAAAATTCTTCAACTAGAATAATTTCTCAGTCCCCATTCTAGACAAAAGCATGTGACTTTTTACAGCTGCTGCTCAGCTTCTCTGCACAGCAGGGAGACAGGACCCTCTCTTCAGGAACTTCCAAGGACAAAGCACCAGTAAGGCTGTTTGCCTCAGTGTAAGGGATCTGTAAACTTGGAAATGCAAGCAATTTCATCAAGTGACCAAGTACTGTTTCTTCATTTGAATCACAGGGTTTTTGTACCTTGTCCAATCCATCAGGTTACACAGCAGCAGTTCCTACTGACAGTATTAGAACAGCGAGATGAACTTTTGGAGAACACTCATCAAGGAGCATTTTGCTCCTTTGTGCAAGTAACATGTTTTGGCAACTAAAGGGTGTAATTTAAAGATTGTGCAAGGAAGAGAAGAAGGAAGTGTGTTTATTTAGTGCTCTCTGCAATTCTGCAGGATGTTTGTTTTTCTGCTGAGAGAGCAAGTGCTTAAATAAGCCTTATAGCAAAATGAAAGTGTCAAAAGTTTTTGCCTTCCAATAACAACCATATGTTCCCTTTTGAAAGCCCAGGACACAATAAAAGGAAAACTTCAGCTGTTTTTTACTAATGCTGTCAGTTTGTCTTTCTGAAATATTTTAACATTGCCTCTTTTTTTGAGTTTCTTTTTGACAGCCTAGATTTTAGGAAAGGAACAGAACGATTAACCAACCTTCAATTATTCAGGTTCCTTTACTGAAGTGCCTTGGGCCAATACATATGAGTATCCACTCATGATGAAAGTCTTCACTCTCAGACATGTGAACATTTCCTCAACCCAGCTTGTTCGGAACTAGTCCTACACCCAGCCTCACCAAGGGAACTTGGTCCCATCCCCAAGGTCTATCCAAGTGCAATTTGGTCTCCAAAACACCTCTCTCCCAGCCACAGTGAGTTTAGAAGTGAATTTAAAACCACAGAAGCTTTACATTACACACCTGAATTTTTCTTTCTTTAAGCAGCAGCTAAAAAAACACCTAAAAAGCTTACAGGTTTTCTCTGGCACACATTTAATCCACTTGCTCAGTTCTCCAGTCTCTCACACTATGCTTCACTAAGCCATGTACATGTATTTCCTAGAATTCTGTTTGCTCATCTGTATCAGATTATACTGAAGGAAGCTTCCAAAGACCATTTCTGAAAGTTTAGCTTGAAGTAAGCCTAAAGTTTTTCTACAGCTTAGAAAGAGAGAATGAAAAATTTCTCTTCAGAAATAAAGGCTAAATCACAGTGGAACAAAACCACTGTTCATAACTTTTTTTCTGAAAAGGCAGTGGTAAATTCAGAAATCAAGTTCCTCAGACTTCTTACCTTATCACCTTTTTCCTCTGATTTCTTCTTCTTAGGATTATCCTTCCAAAGAGCTTCTACAGCAATATATCCTTGAAGACTCCAGTCATACAGCTGTGTGCCAGCAACCTTTGAAACAAAAGTTTTTAGAAAGCATGAACGTAATAATCTGAGGAATACTGCCTTGCTTCTTTTTTAAGTGGAAAAAGTGTCATAACACAAGATGTTTAACTCTTCCTGCTCAAGCTCACAATTAATTAACATAATTAATTAATACAGAATTAATAAACAACTTGGAAAATAATGTCCCATGAGGAATAAGAAAAAATAATGTGCTAAAAACCTGTCTGAAGACTACCTGAATATACATCTGTACAAATGGGAGTGGAATGATTCTGTGTGGAAACAATCCCAGTTTCCTTAGTATTTGACATTCAACATAATTAACATATGCAAAGTATTTCTTAATTTGACCATACCCATTTCAAAGACCCTACTGAGGGTTGTCACTATTTTGCAATTTTAGATTTTCTTCTTATTTGTTTTTTAGAACTTGCTGATAGATGAATGTTATGTATAACCAGCTGTCAAATCCCAAAACAGAACACAGCTAGGAAAGACTGTGTTTGCTATATTACACCAACAAGTATTTTATTAAAGGGAAAGGCCCTAAGTCTAATAAAACAGGATGCCTTGTCCCTTATGTGACATGGAACTGTAGTATTAATAGCATCCTTTAAAATTAAAGTGTGTTAGGTTTTTATAGCCAGGCTCAGGTCTATATTGACTTTCATATCACTATCTGTTTCTGGAAGAAGAACAGCAAAAAGGGCAATATGTCCAGCTAAACAGCTATTAAACTAAAAAAATTTATGAAATCAAGAACTAAGAAGGTATTTCCCTGTCTTCTACAGGAGGCAAAGCCACAAAACATGAACTCTGAGAACAGCGCAAACGTAAATGTTTCTCAAACAATTTTCTGGTATTTCTGAAAAAGTTTCTGAACTACATTTTTCAGTTTCTTCCAGTCTCCATCAATTCACTGTTCAGAGATTTCCTAAGCCAAAGGTGATTTTTATGTGTGTAAAGAGGCCCAAGGAATTTCCCTTCAATGAACTTTTTGCATGGAGTTCAAGGGAAGTGCAAATTTTTAGCAACCCTGTGCCAAGTGATTCCACTGCTGGGTACAGGGCACACATGGTGTGAAGAGCCACTTCCCCTTGCTTGTCTGATCTGTAATCAGCAAGACTGATTATACCAGTTACTGCACAATGGTACAAGGATGTGCTTCTGGGCAGATACCATGTGCTTGCTACCTTACAAAAGAAGCTATTGAGTAACTAGAATTAAAAGAAAACAAACCCAAATCAGCAACTACACTTCCAAGTCACAACTAAATCCAAACTGTAGGCTGTTTTAAATACAAAGTATCCTTTTTGTCACAGTATCTGACCAATTACTTTGGTTTAAATAAGTCCATTGGATGCATTCACTTTTCTCTACAGCTGAAAGTGATAAGTCATCAGAAAAATGCACATCAAGTGAACCAATTAAATCTCCAAAATTGCCCAATTGAAATATTACAGGTATAGACAGTTATGCTGTTTTTCAGTATCAGAACTGTTAATTCTCTAACATCTAGCACTTCAACAAACTAGCTGGCTCATCTGAAAAGATAGTGGTCCCTTGTGCAAACAGCACAAACCTACCAGGACTGAAAAATAATCAAAATAAACAAAATGCTGGTTTTGTCTGTAATGTTACTGAAGACACAACTACCAACATAAAATGAGAAAATACAACTGTCCTTAAACTATATTTCTGTTTCTGCTTAAAAATACTCTATTAAAATACTTAAAACCACGCTAAATGCCTAACAGTACAAACTTTAAAATATTCTTATAGTCATATAAGGAGCCATATGACCAAGTGAGTTATGAATTTTATTAAATGAGAAACTGATCATTCATGTTGCTGGATTAAGTAGCTACATCACAAGGTACACACCCCAGACAGTTTAGTCTGCCAAAACCAACCAATGTTTCACCAGTGCACAAACCTCCCAAGTGCCAGGACCCACAGACACTCCACAGTTGAAAAATACAGCTCTAGGCAGACTGGAAGTGCAAGCCACAAGGTCAACACACTAAAATACCAGTGCTGTTGAATGCAGCACTGTAAGTGGGTTTGTATGCTAAAGTTTGAACAAACAAGTTCAGAAGTCAGATTGAATGGTTCTCAACAGGGATTCTGAAAGTTTCAGGAGGCCATGGGCCACCAACACCCACACTGGGCACTACTGGGGCAGCATCTGTGGTCTCCAAGGCCTCATGTGCCACACAGCACCATGAGCATGCATTACTGACTACACTGGATGTTACACAGAATCACACACATTCAGAATTTTGATCAGCAATTCTTTATCTACCTTTCATGCTGAGAAACTATTAACTGAGAACCCAGTGGTTTTTCTACATTTACAAAGTGCCATTTCACAAGCATTCAGCAGTGAACATGGATCAAGTGACCCCAACTCCTGCTTTCCAGCTCCCAGCTCCTGGAATCATGTCCTGCTCTCAGCTGTTTATGCCCTATAGACTGAACCCAGCAAGGAACAAGGTACAGGTTCAAAACACACAGAAATAATGTGGTTTGCTGTGAAAGAAACAAAACTCTACTGAGAAGCTTTTCTTACAGTCAAGAAGAATGAAAGCATAACACACAGCACTTTAGTAAGTTGAAAGGTTCTAATAACAAAAGACAAAATTTAATACCAATGATAGAGTGATTTAAATAACTGCATAATGGAAAGTTCTTTCCAGCTGGAATATAAGCCACAGTACATACAAAGTATTTTGAGCATATTATGATTAGCTGGAAAGCAATACCATTTCAAAACACTAACTAGGGTTCCACCAGAATAAATTCAGCTCCTCTACCACATATACAGCCTGACCTTTTGTTCAAAGTTATTAAAAGTATAGTACTGGCAGTGAGGAAAATTTGTGATTTATTAAAATTTGTAATTATTTACTAGATTACATACTAAAGCAAGGAAAAATAGTCTATGAATTTCTTCCATCTTCAATTAGATGATTAGAGTCTGAAAACTACCTGTTACCAATAATGAACTCTGTTGCTACAACTTCACTTAGGAATTCATACATCTTAATTAAAGGAAAAAAAATTACTTCAGATGTATTAAATGTTGGACCACAACTACAGATCCATTTTGCTGTGTCTATTCCCAACTCTCCATTAGAAAGTCTTAAATAAAGGTGAGACAGAAACAAAACCCCCAAAAATTAAAAAAAAAACCAAAATAACACAACACCCAGTTAAAGGAATTATACAACTGTAAAATAAAAAGCAGTGATGAAGTACTTAAGTGTGAAAGAAAAATAAGAACATAATATAAAAAATAATTTAAATTAATGTTACAGAATATTTTCTATTATATTTCTAACTTGGCAAGTGAGCTTTGTACTGCAAGAATTCCTTTCTAAGTTTACAGACATTTTTTGAAAGGCTTATGAAACATTTAAAAATTATTAATAGAGAGGAAAGTGTTTTCAATTTCAGATTAAATACTAAAAATTATGGATTGTAAGAGATTATATGATTAAAACTTTGCTTTTTTAAGGAAACAAACACAAGACAGATTAGAGGAACCAAAACAGAATGTAGGATATTACTCTCCCCACAGAAGTTTCCAAATTCATATGTCTACTGTCCTGACCAAGTCAACAAAGCTAAACCCATTCCAATCTCCTACCAGATTTTTCATTACAGTCAAACTCAGAACTGTGAATTAATCAAAGAGCAACCATGCACTTCAAAGTTCTCATAAAATAAACTCAGCATTGTGAAGCTGTTAGCACCAAATCCATAGTTAAGCCTGAACTGAGCTTATTTCAAAACAGTAACATCAGTTTGAACAGCGTTCAATCGCTTCCCACTTCACTGTTCAGAAGGCAAGTAGAATTTTAATACACAGTTTCCAACAGAAATGTTTAAGCTTCTTAAATTTTGATGTGTTTTTTTCCCTGCCACTTGCATAATTTTCACTCTCTGAGAATAAGCCAACAGAATTATCTGTATTTAGAGCATCTGAATCCTGGAAGCAGTAAAAAAAGATTCCATCAGAGATCAGAGTACCACCATGCTGGCAGAGCTCAAACTCAGCAGTTTTGACTCTCCCTAAGTCAATGACCTTCAGTTTTCAAAGAACATCATATGTTGCTGAGAATACCATATTACCATTCTGACATCTCAAAGTTATTCACAAGTGGCCAGTAACTAGAAATTTACCAAAGGCTGAAATATAAAGAATTTCTGAAAGATGCAAGTATGTGCACTGTGAGTGGTTAAAAGCTGGATATGAATCACAGTGTGGTGGAGAACTAAGGAATCTGCCAGGAGTGTGGACAGCAAGGCACATGATTTAACATCAGTAAGGACTGTAAGCAATTCTGTGGTCTCTTCAGTTCTTTCTCTCACAGAAAAATCATTTAAGCAAATGCTAGTTAACATGTTTCTTGTGTGCCTGAAAAAACAAATCCATAAATAGGGAATGCCCTGTAAGTTTGCAGCAGAATTCTTACCCTGTTCCAGAATGTGCATGCTACCTTTCTTAAAGCCCCCCCCAAAAAAGCAGAAAATGTCAGTAACATTTACCTCAAAATGTCATGAGACTTGTCTCTAGAAACTCCTTTCTTTTCTTTCAAACTCGGTTTTCATTTGCTCACAAGATATTTCATGTTTCCTTAGTATTTTAAATAAACACACAAACTGTACTAACTTAGCATATTTATGTTAATTTGGTGCTACATGAGGTTAGAGATTTTGAAAGGAAATTACATTCCTCTATCTGAAGACACTACTGCAAATGTTAGAAATAAAATGCCATTAAAAGGAACAAGTCTGATTATCTTTCAGCCTAGACTGCATTTGTTTGAAAAAAAATAACCATAATTTTGTTAATTGCCACTGATGTGGCTTTTAAACCTGGATGACTAGTTAACCTGAAGCTAGGAGGCAACAATCAAAGACACTTGTGCAAAGAAATGTATCATCACTGACCTTTGCAATAGCAACCGCTTGCTGAGGGTAATACATGGAGGTACTGATACCCATGAGAGCTGCAGGATACACCAACTTCTTTATTTTTGAGCCTGTTTTGTAACAAAAAAATCAAAAACCATAAACTACTGTTAGAGTATATGTTAGCCAAGTCAGCTGAATGGCCCTAACATTTTCTTTATAAACAATTTTCTTAAATACGTTTTAGTATGTTTTCTCTTTCACCCTACCAGTTCCTTAAGAAACATCATCACTCTGATCAGTAGGGGCCCCCCTAATAGTTTGCTAAACTTTGTAAGCTTCACTAAGATCATATCTTAGATTGATTCTGCACATAAAATCCTTTGGACATAAACTGCTGACCAAGACTGGGACTAGGACTGGACACATTTAGGCTCCTCTGAGCAGGAATTTAGGAAGGAAGGAGGCTGACTGAATCCTGTGACTCAAGAGGAGGATGCTCCCCAGACCTGTCCTCTGTGCAGTAAATGATCAAGGGTACCTTGCATTCAAATCCTTTCAAATCATTGCTTTATATCAATAAACACATTGCTGCTGCTCTCTTACAAGTGAAGTGCATCACTCCATCTGCAACACGAGTTAAAACTAATTATCTCTAATGGCATTTTAAACTAAGCTGGATGACTGCACAATAGTCACATGATTAAACTTTGAATACCATATTCTCTACTTAGTGAGCAGCTGTGCATATTTATGTATCATGATTAGACCTGGAGGATTTTATCTGCACCTTCCAAGAGGGCAATTTCTCCACAAAGACCAAGGGAAGGAAGAATAAAATAAAGAGGACTTATGGTAGCATCAAAATCAAGGGGCACTTCCTTCTATGGTTTGAATACTTTCTGGAAACAACAGTCATATTTTAAACTATTACCAGGAAAAAAAAAAAAAAAAAAGGTTTACAATTATGGCTCCCATCCTAAAAGATTCACAAATTTAACATTTTTAGTATGAGGTATTTTCATTTTCATTAAACTTAGGATCCTCTGATCTTCCAATTCCAGTCCCAAGACTGCACTCCCCCATCTCCCCTCATTTTGCTACAGTCATAAATAATGGAAGCTGATCTCATTCATCCTCATGCTACATGAGAAGCAGGAATACAAAGAAAAAGAACTTCAAAGAGGAAAGTTACCTTGATTTCATTAGGAAAAAATACACTAAGAAAAAAAGTGAAGTACTGCTTTCACTAGCTTCACTGGAAAATTAAATATTTTGAGGCGCACTTCTAATTTGTACACAGCCAAGCACACACTACCAGCTCAACATATTCAGGCCCCATAAAGCCTGAAACCATGTCCTCACTGGTATTTAAATTCTACAGCTTTTAAGTTCTGTTACCTTCATTTAACTGCATTAGGAATATCTTGATGTAAGCACAGAATACTTCTTCACACTTAACATTTCTTAGACTAATGCTTCTATTTATGAAAGCATCATTTTTTCAGTGCGATGAAATTAACTGTATCATTTTTCTGTAGTGCAAAATGTGTAGATATTTACAGTACACCCAGAGTTCATAAGTCTATTTGCTGAAACACCATCTGCAGCATCTCTGTACATCAACATACAATACTTTGAAAAAATTCAAATATACCTCTAATTGGACATAGATCATAGTCATGAACATCTGTATTTTATCATAACTCATTCCACTGTTGTTTTCTACAGTAACATATGTGATCAAGAACTTAAGTAATTAAAATATTTTTAGGCTAAAAGATACTAAACCAGTTATTTGCCATTTCTGTTATACTAAAATACTACTGGGAAATATGGAAGATGAGATTTTAGTAACATATACAGCAATGATAAAAACGGTAATTGTTGATTATTAAACACCTTTTCCATGAAGTTTCTTTATAAGGAACAGTGTAGAAACATCCTTTTAACAGTTAATTCAGATCTCCTTGTCACAACTAAAAATTACTACCCTAAAACTCACAAAAAATTAGTTATCAAATATCATAACATAACCAGTTCAAATGGTTCCCACTTACCTCTAGCAAGAAACAATCCAATAATTCCAGCAAAACTTATCACGCCAAGTCTTGGATAAAATCCAGCAGGTGGTTTTTGGAGAAATTCATAGCCCTCTGAAAAGAAGCCAGAACAAAGTGCTTTAATGTAATGTGAAAGTGGTTTTGTGATAAGGAATCATCAATACACGCTGGCAATTGTTACAAAACACAAAGAGTTATCAAAACACATTTAACTATCATGTGCATTTTAGATATGCTGGCAAAAAATTCAAAGCCTTTGAAATCTGCTCTAGTGACACATGAACGAAACTGAATATGGTATTGTATTCACCAATTTTCATAGGAGCTTTGCCTTTGCTCCTGAGCCATCTGTTTTGTTTTGCTCTTTGCATCTCAATTGTATCTTTTTCAAATTAGTGATAAAAACTTTAGCAAAATGGAATTTTACAGTTACATGTTAACAATAACTAGTTTCAGTAAAATACTGTACAAAAACCAAATCACAGAACAATGGAAAGACACAGTAAAAACAAAGTGCACTGTAAGATGGGAGTCTGGTGGGGGAATGGAAAACTATGGAAAATCTTCCAAGCTAACAAGTTCAAAAGACTGAAACTGCTAAGTTTAAAGAAAAGAGGTGCAGTATCTGAAATGAGCTCTACATAGAATCCATGCTCAGTCCTGGTAAGCCCAAGTATGAAAGGATGCTCCCAAAAATAAAGACAAATTAAAATTATTTTGAATTAATTCAAAATTCTTAGGAAATCTATGGAAGCAAACCAAAATGAACAGGCATTACAAACAAAAGACCTAATGCTTGCAACAAGTAATTAGCTTTACAGGAGATTTCAGTTACTAAGCTGGTTCAAGCAAATACTGCTGGAGGCTGGGTCAAGCAAATAGTGCTGGCTGGAAATAAATTCTGAGGGGTTCCCCTTCTCTTCCTGCATTTTTTAGTGACATTGATAAACATAAATGCTGGTCTCAGATTTTAATTTCTTATAAATGTAAAGTCATAAGTGACCCACAAAGGAAATTCAAACAGCTACACAGTAGAGATAAATTAATCTTAAATGCATTAGAAATTACACACATAATGATGCTTAATGGTTTTCTCTGTAAACTGAAGATATAGTACAGTCCTGCATTTTAAATTGCTAGTTAAGAAAACTAAGCTGATTTACCTCTACCATGCTCAACAGCTTTTTCTAACTTGGGCATAGCTTTGGCATAAAGATCCTAAAAAAAAAAGAGAACAAGGGTAAATAGACACCAAGGAAGTAAAGTATTAACTATAGAATGTAACTGAGCTGACAAAGAAAGGAGAAAAAAATAACAAAGAAAAAAGTGATGGGTCCCTAAAATAACTTACTTTTATTTCCACTTCCACTCTTCACTTATAGGGCTATGCTTGCTCAGTGTTACATTTAGCATAACTTAGAGATTTTTCTTAAAGGACCCTTTGGGCAGAGATAAAATACAATACTTTGAAACACAGATGTCAATCTCAGTATTTTATTGAGATCAGGCAACTGTAATTCAGAACTATCTTGGTTTTCAGTGTATGCAGGTATTGCAAAAATACTTGGGGTGATGCAAAGAAAGTAAGTATAACACTGCAATAAATTCCTTCCTAACACTTTGAAGGGGTATGTGAATAATTCTGCAAGGTGATAAATTCCACTTTCCAGGAGACTGTCTTAGGCTAACAAGACTGCATTTTGAAGTGACTTGGAAATTAGATGTCCATAGACATCCAAAGTAAATTGAAGACACTGCATCAACCCCACGGACCAGTTCTACATTTTTTTTTTCAGACTGAGAATATTCAGGAAATAAAAGACTGCAGACGGCCTTTTATCAAAATAGAAAAAAAAAAAAACTCAATAAAAAGAACCCTGTTAACTGTTATTTACACTAATAATGCTTCAGAGGAACAGTGTAAGGCTGTAGATAAATTAGGGAACAAATTCATAAACACATATGCCCAAAGCTAAAGCAGAGAATAGTCTTGCAATTCCACCTGAGCTGCATCTGTGCAGAAGTGAAAGCATTTGATTAGGATACTGAATGGGGATATCTTTAGAACTTTCATCTCCTCACTGGCAAGAGTGATGTAAAAAAAACCCACCTGGCATTAAAATAAAAAAGTGTTAGCACATGACACACAACATAACTTTAAATGGACATTGGTCTTATTAAAAGCCAATATAAGAAGAACTTGCTCTAATGACCCCAGAGATAAAGTCTGATCTTCTGTCACAACTGAAATATAACTGGCTTATTTCTACATCTGAGTTTTGAGCTGCATTTCCTCTAGTTAAGTAATTTTGGAAAAGTAAAAGGGATATACAAACATAACCAATTTCATTCTGATTATCCTGGGTTATCTGTTTGATTTTAAAGACAACTGAGACACACCTAAATATTATTTTCTTCAACACAGCATGGATGGGCAGGGAGTTTAAAACCAAAGCTACCTCTGACTACAGTTAAGCAATATTGTCCCAAACCCATAAAGTTTACATGCCTGCTTCATAAAATGAGTCAGTAAACCACTGCCAGGAAATGGGTTCTCGTGTGTGAGCAGAAGAGCACATCTTATGTCAATGATCACCAGACAGACAAAAAAAAAATAAAACAAATAGGATGACAACAGGTCAGTGAGACATCAAGCAAGGTTAAAGGCCAGCCTCCTCTCCAATTTCACTCCCCAGGTAGGGGTACCACAGGCAACCAAGCAAAACACACGTATTCAGGAGGCCAGAGCTCTGACTGTCCTGTGAAATACTGCTTCCCCTCCCAAGCTGCAGCCAGTGCTCCTTCTGGGGGCACTTGAAACACAAGACTGAGTAACTCTGAAGAAATGTTTCAGTCCTGTTAAAGGCAGCACCACACAGAGCTTCCAGGCAGAAAGGACACCCTGATCTGACCAGCTTGGCCTTCAGTGGAGAGCTGGGCACACAGCTAGCAGCTCAAGGGGATTCACAACAGGCAGAGGGCAAAGCAGAGAATCACCTGCAGCTGCCAAGAGACAACCACAGGGCAAGGATTCCCCCACTTCAAAAGTAAGCCTCAACATTTCCTGGGCAGGAAAGGGCAAGAAAGCTATCCTGGGGCTTTGCAATCTAATACAACAATTTAGGCTTTGATCACAAAAATCTTGGTTTTCCTCTCCGCAACAGAGCCTATTTTTATATTTAATGACTATTTACTCTAAACATACTACCTAATGAAAAATAGATGAGAAAGTTTTGAGGCAAAGTCTGGGGATTAGGTTTACCAGTACTTAGTGGCCTGTGATTTTCTCTCTTCCAAAGATCTGCATTCCTTCCCTCAACATTCTAGTTCAGCAAATACTGATTTATTTTTTGCTAAGTTGTGTTTTGTCACAGCTGCATTGAGGGCAACTTGGTTTTGCTGCTCCAAAAAACACTGCTTGATAATTTAAGACCTCAAGCCTGAAAACTACAAATACCACACTCCTGTCTTCCTCAGCCACAGAGCCGGTGCCAAATCCAGATATCCCCAGGTATATTTAAATCTAAAGTTCACTTCAGAAAACAATTCTTTTGGAAGGAGAACCCCTAAGCCCAGGGTTTAGTTCAGCCAATTAGTATAAAGACACAAATGGTTCTGTGTGAGAAAGGGGCAAACATTATGAAGTGAACTGTGGAAAACTTTATGCAAGGCAGAAAACTTTCAGTGATGCCACATTTTTTAAAAATGCTGTTACAGCTATCAACTTTTACTTTGCTGCTACCTGTTAATTCCAACTCAGAAAAAACAAACTACAATCCCAGCTAGAACTTTATCCCTGCTGTCACCAGCTGCAATACAAACCATTATACCTGACACCAGGCTGTATATGGCTCCATAACATGCCGTAAACGGGAAACCCCCTCTTCCAATTCGGTTCTGGGATTCTCCACATATTTAGTCTCACGAGCTGGGGAGGAGTACAGTGACAGCTGTGAATATTAGCAAACAAGATGTTAAAAACAAAGTTATAATTGTGTAAGTAGGTCTTCAGGGCATGAACAGTCTAAGCAGAGAACAACTAACACTGTGCTTACTACATAAACAATGCATAATAAAAATTCACACAGCTCTGAGACAACCATTATGAGCAAAGTTTAATTATACAGGACATAATTATGATGAAGATGACTTCTAACTGCTATACAATTCATTCATAGCTGCTATATGATCCAAGTCACAAGTTATAAATTAATATTAAACTAGTTTAATAAGAACACACAACATAATTGTGAAAAATATTTCCCACCTTAATCAGCACTTCTGGTTCCCAGTTAACATACTGAATGTACTAGAAATCACAATCAATCATTTTCTATATATGCACAAGGCATCATTAAAGAGCCTAAGCAGCTTCTAACAAAGGTAACATCCAATACACATGTGCCTGTTTGTTACTGAACAGGAAAATGGTACAACATCCCAACCTTTGGTCATTAACCACATCAGCAACTGACAGCATTAATGGCACCCTGGCACTGAGCAAAGAGGAACTGCAACGAGTGATGGGCATCTTCACATAATAAATGCTAAACTACCTTGTTTAGTTTTTAGAATCACCACAACATTTACTACAATTACCTAAGAATATTTGAAACCGTATTCCATTAAAAGAATCCTATGTTTGTACTGTTGAAGATGAACAGCAAAGCTCAGAACAAAAGAAAGCCTATTAAAATTTCTAGCAGTTTATATACTACACAGATGTTCAGTGTAAAGAGCTTCTATTTTACACCATATTTATACTCTATTTAGTAGGTTATTGTAATTTGATGATTACAAGTATTGTTGCATTAAAATGTAGCTAGCTCTCTTTTCAAGATCAGCTGGAAAAGAATTGTCTCTGTCATAATTAAAAAAGCTGCTAACCATAACATAATACAAAATTACAACAAATTTATCCAATCATTTGGTAACCTGTGCAGGTGGATTTCCCGTAATACTTTGAAAGACAAGGATTTTCAGCCTCACTTGCCTAGGAAACCTGGTCATCCCTGGCAATCACAGTCACAAGCTGAACTTTGATCCTGTTGGACAACCTAACAGCAATGTCTGGCACAAGGACAGAAGCCTCCAAGATAAGGAAATTCCCATATATTTTATGAAACTAGACAGCTGACACAGTAGAGATCCAAACTAAGAGCCTGTGAATGGCAAGAAAGGCAGCCAAAACTCCATGGCTTGCACATTCTGCTGTGCTGGAGGTGATGGCAAGCCCATTACTCAGCTCACATGAACTCCACGCTGCTGCCTCACGACTGACTCAGGCCAGCAGAGGTTGGGCACGCGATGGCCCAGGCTGAGGTTCCCAGGCCAGGCAGGGCCAGGAGCCCACTGCGCCTGCAGCTCCTGTGTACCAGGGAACTGCCAGCCACAACACCTAAGTGTGCACAAAAACCAGTCTGATTTAGTTCCAGCGCTTACTGTACAACACTTCAGCTTGGGTTGAAGTACTCAAAATTTTTAAACAGCTGCATGCTCTCATGCATGTAAAGCTGGATTTAGTTACTAACAACTTATTTTGATTCTTTTAGTGTTGGAGGCTTTTAAAAGCCTGTGTAACAATGCTGCTGAGTCTACAGTTTGACAGGGTATTTTAAGGCTCTACTTATGACCAAAACATTTGTAACATATTAAAGAAATGAAAACATAACAGGTATTTATTACCACTACTTATTGTATTTGTTGTTGCTTAGGTCCGAATACTGTGAAGAAAGGAAAATTGATAAATTCTGCAGGCTACTAGGGCAGATTCAAGGTATTGCCTGACAAGAATTTTGATCATAAAAAAGAATATTTTTAGAAGTACAACATTCTGATTCACTGTTTTAGTGGAGAACATAAAATTAATTTATATTAGAATTTACCAACACTACTTACAATAAAAAGTAAGTAGTATTATCCGGATAAAAAGCAAAGAAAATATGCCTGTGGATTTGAAATATAACCGTAAGTAAATCTACAAACATGAAAATGTAACTTCTGAATGAAGAATAGACGACTTTAATGTAGAAAAAAGATCTTACACACAAGCAAGCTTGGCCCTATCAAGAACATCAAATGCCATGCCCAGGTAAAAGCAAAACTGTATAGAAGTCTCTGTTGAGGAAAATTGAGAAGCAAATTTAAAGGCATGAATACAAAAGGTGATAAGATGTACCTAAATGCTTTCACACATCAAAACACAATGTTTTCAGAATTCTTTAACTAGAAGAGCACCAAGGCTATAACCACACTTACCTCCTCAATTTTCAGCAACTCCTTTTTGGAAGTCTTCTCTGAAGAAGCAGCAAAAACCTGGACAGAGAGCAAGCTCAGGCTGACAGGGGTGGCCCCCAGCCGAATTACCTGGAAACATTACCGGAGGACAGGTACATCATTATGTGCAAACAAAACTGCAGCGTGTCTGAACACACCCAGGCAATGTTTATGTCCCTCTACTTGGTAAAAAGTGATCTCAATAGATGCTTGGAAATTAGGAGAAAGGAGGGTCAGCAGTACACAATCTAATGCTCTCAGGCACTGATGTAGTACAGTAACATCTAAATCACTCAGATAGTATTTGAAAATGCCTAAGGCTAAATGAGGCAGTAGAAATAAAGGCTAATCTCATTAGTTTTCATCTCATAAAAAAGATCTTGTTTTAAGTAATTTTTGTATTAACTTTCTCATTCAAAGATTATATTCTTTCTCAAAGAATGTATTATATTCTTTATCAAAGATTATACTCATATTTTAAACAACTTTGTGAATGCTCATAATACCTCCATTTTTCCATAGTAGTACCAAGAAGTTCAGTGTTTTACTTCTACTTAATATCTGCATATAGATTTAGGAAAACAAGTAGACCTACAGCTATAAATACCAGAACAAAATCAATTATTTCCAAGAATTTTAGGAATGTCTCCTACTTTTTGTAAGAAACATTAATTACTTGACTGTTTTTTTGAATAAATTCAATCCAATCATGCAACCACCACTAGTAAGGTGGATATAATTCTTCCAGTATTCAGGACCTATGCTAAACTGAATTTCTTAAAGGGAAAGTCTGCTTCAACTTAAACAGAAGAAAAAAATCTTAGCTGCACAGTAAATTAAGAATGCTCAGAGAGCATTTTCCAGCAAATGCACATCTTTATTAATGGAAATGTGCAGAGTTACAACAGCCTGTGTTTTGCTGGATCAGGTTACAGCACGAGTGGATCTAACACCAAACTGGAGGCGTCTGGCTCCTCTCCAGCACTGGCTCCCAGAAGTCCTGCTGCTCACCTTGCCCTAGCTTTGGTGGCCGGATGCTTCCACCGGGAGGCAATTCACCTGGCCAATTTGGCAAAAGATTAATCCTGAAAGAGAAGCGGAGAGCTTTGTGCGGGCTTAGCAAATTGAACCCTTCCATGAAACAGCCTGACAAGCACCAGAGGAACTGTATGGTCCAGGGGACAGGGGATGAGAAAGGAGAAGGCAGCAAGGCCTCTTCCTTTCAACAAATAGCGGGGTCTGTTGCATTGACCTAGCTGCTTGTGACACTGAAGCCGTGGTCAAACCATCCCTCCTTCACACTGTGATGGTGGTGACTGGCCCAGCCACGGCACAACTGCTCTGTCTCTCACAGAACTGTTAGAAAATAGCTTTAAAATTATCCACACCACATCAGCTTATTGTAGGCAGTCAAGCATTTGCAGCTTAAATTTCTTCCACTGCTTTGCAGATGGAATGCTTATTAAATGTAACCAATAGACTCCTCAAACTAAAAATTAGACTTCACAGTTATGAAACTTCCTGAAAATGTTCATTTAAGTGTAGAGAAACAGCACACAAGAACTAGGTCACATGATTGTTTTTTGGAAGATGTAAGGGATCTGGTGGGTCAAAAGGTATGGAAAAACTTGCTTAAAATTGAAGTTTTTCCTTGTCTGAATTTATGGACTCATTACTAAATCACTATAAATGAAACACCACAATGACTGGATCAGCTGTTTCAAAGCCAAGGAAAGACAAGGATAATCTTTAATAGTGTTTCCTTAAACACTTTTCACATACTTCTGTTAGCCAGGACAAAAACAAACACTACTAACCATTAATAGCCGTAGAGTTTATTTCCTCAATCTTTCATTTTTTCACTGCAAAACTGTTATGTCACTGAAAAGGCAAAAATCTAAATGCATTTTCTCTTTGTAATATGTTTTCAAACAGTGTAAATGGTGCTAAGTGTCACAAGTATAAACAGTAAAACCAAATGTTTTAGATATTTGAGATTTTTATATAAAGACACAAATAGCACAGCACAAGACTGGAAGCACCTGGGTTTCACAAAACAGTATCAGTGACATAGGACTACTCAGACTGAAAAGTTAACTGTTTATATTATCAAGATACTGAAGTGCAGACATTTTCCATTGTTTTTAATTTTTAACAAAATGAAACTAACCTCTGAAAGTGCAAGTTGAATCTCTTCTTAAATGTGCTGTTCAAATCATACTTCAATGGTCTCCTACATCAGCTACCTCATGGGACAGGCAGAACTACTGCTGAAATACTGCATATTTGCATACACAGAACTACTTGGGAGTATGAAAGATCAGCTGCTGTACTTGTTTCCAAAATGCCCTGTAGGATCTCATTTTTGATTTCCATACTAACCATATATTACCAAAACAATTGCTTTAGTAAAACATTTGGACTGATTGAGCTGTGCCTTCAGCCTGCCAGTCCTATAGCCACTCAGTATCAGAAAAGCAGAGCTGACATTCTTTTCTATTGGCAATGCTCTGCAGTTATTTTAAGCAAAAAAGATACATTTACTCCTCTCTAGCTAAGAATTCAATTTTATCTTTAGGACTTGATAGGAAAAGCTTGAGCATACTTTTGAGAAGGCTGATACTGGTCCTAAAGTATGAAAACAGTTTTCCTCATCTTTTTCTATTCTTCCTCCTATTTCTCAGCCCAAACCATAAAAACATCAAACCAAAATCCAAATTCTTGAACATTCCTGTCCCTGAAGCAAAAGTATCCTGGACAAAAAGCTACCTTCCCTTTGGCTCTTAGAGGCATAACATCAGGTTGGCCTGAAGGACATAAATCCTCACTGGCTATGTAAAAGTACTAATACACTAATACAGATAGTGCCTAAATGCACAGGCTCACATATCAACCCTCCAATGACAATTCAGCATCAATTATGGAATCCTCAATGATTCTGTGCACAGAATTCCAGCATTAAAGGACATAAAGAAAAAGGAATTTATGACAAGAGCAGAGCAAGCAAGGGCTCAGCACATCAGTATCACAGACTCCGGAATTGTCAGGGTTGGAAGGGACCTCTGGAGATCATCTAGCGCAACCCCCTGCCAAGGCAGGGTCACCTGGAGCAGGTGACACAGGAACATGTGCTGGTAGGTGGGCTTTGGATGCCTCCAGAGAGACTCCACGACCTGGGCAGCTGTTCCAGTGCTCTGCCACCCTCAACATAAAGAAGTTCTTCCTCATGTTGAGATGTTATATATTACTATTTAGTATCCTCGGTATACTGGTATCTAGATATATTATCAATATTTCACACAGAAAATGGTACCAAGGAAAATGAATACCAAGAAGCGAGCATCACCAGGTTTTGGTGGTTTGGTGTTTTTTTTAAGCAAGCAGCCTAACAACGATCTGACTGGCACAGAGTTGCTTTTAGCCTGATGGGATCTGGGGCTGCTCTAACCACAGGCAGAAATCTCTGAGACAGCCAGAGCCGGACGGGGCTTTCCGCAGGTTTCGCTGGCAACCTTCAGGCACTAAAAGGAAACTTTTCAAGATCGAACCGACGCTTTCAAGCGACAGCTGCCCGGGCCCGAACCGAGCGGTGACAGAGCCCCGCGGTGCGGGCAGCCCCGTACGGAAGGGACGAATCTGCGCGGGGGGCACCCGGCAGCGGCTGTAAATCGGGAGTGTGCCCCTCTCCGTGCAACGCGAGGGCACGCGGTTCCGAAGCGCTAAGAGGAGCGGCTAAGCAGCTGCGAGGACAGCGGCAGTGAGAGCGGCGGAGAGGAGAGAGGCAGAGGGCGCGGGCGGAGCGCGGAGCCCCGAGCGCGGCCGGCGGCGGGCCCGGCCGGGGACCCCTCCTCACCTTGAACATGGCGGCGCCGGGCGCGCGGCGACGGGGCGACGGCGTCACCGCGGCGTGACGTCACGGGGCGGCCCCGCGCGCTGCCGCCGCCGCCCGGGCGGCGGAGGGGCTCCGGCCTTGGCGGGCTCCTGTGGGAGCAAAGCGCTTGCACGCTGATCCTCAGCCCCGCGGCACGGCTCCTGTGGGAGCCAAGCGCTTACACGGCCCAGCTCCTGTGGGAGCAAAGCGCTTACATGCTGGGCTGCACGGCTCCTGTGGGGGCAAAGCGCTTGCACGGCCCAGCTCCTGTGGGAGCAAAGCGCTTGCACGGTGATCCTCAGCCCCGCGGCACGGCTCCTGTGGGAGCAAAGCGCTTACACGGCCCAGCTCCTGTGGGAGCAAAGCGCTTACACGGCCCAGCTCCTGTGGGAGCAAAGCGCTTACACGCTGGGCTGCACGGCTCCTGTGGGGGCAAAGCGCTTACACGGCCCAGCTCCTGTGGGAGCAAAGCGCTTACACGCTGGGCTGCACGGCTCCTGTGGGAGCCAAGCGCTTGCACGGCCCAGCTCCTGTGGGAGCAAAGCGCTTGCACGCTGATCCTCAGCCCCGCCGCACGGCTCCTGTGGGAGCAAAGCGCTTGCACGCTGATCCTCAGCCCCGCCGCACGGCTCCCTGTGCTGCCCTGCAACCTTTGTGAGGAAGGCTCGGCCGTTCACAGAATCAGTCACAGGAATCAATGAGGTTGGAAAAGACCTCTGAGAGCGTCGAATCCAGCCTGTTACCAAACCCACGTCAGCTAGACCACGGCACCACCAGGCTGGTGGAGTCACCATCCCCGGACGTCTTCAAGAAACGCAGTTTCTTGAGAAAAGCTAATGGCACTGAGCGCCACGTCCAGCCTTTCCTTAAACCTCTCCAGGGTCGGTGACTCCGCCAGCAGTCCATTCCAATGTCTGCTCACCCTTTCTGTGAAGAAATTCTTGCTGAGTCCCACTAAAGGCTCTCCGGCGCGGCTCAGGTCTGTGTCCTCGTCCTGCCGCCGGCCGCAGAGCCGCGCTGGAGCGGGCAGTGCCGGGGCCCCCTCAGCCGGCCGGACACACACCGCTCCCTCAGCCGCTCCCCGCAGGACTCCCCACGCCCTTCACCGGCTCCCCTGCATTGCAAATGCCGGCCAACCCAATCGGAAGAAGTGACGATGTCTGACTCAATTCAGAAGGCTGAATGATTTCTTTATTATAACTATGCTAAAATACGTTAACATACTAGATAAAGGAAGATACTAAAACTATATACTACCTTCTCTTAATTCTCACAACTCCTAACCCTCTCTTTAGAGTGCAGACACAGGTGGATTGATCGGACATCAGGCTCAAACAATCCTCGCCAGAATCCAATCAAGCACTCACTTCAGGTAAACAATTCTCCAAACACATTCCACACAGGAAAACAAAGAGCAGAAATTGGTTTCTCTCTAACTGCTCTCTGTGCACCTCTATGAAAAATCCTGAGAGGGAGAGAAATACACTTGCCACATCAGTGTCCTCCTGGCTCACTGCCAGAATAATTCACATCGGTGAGCATGATTTAGTTTGGGGTAGAGTTAATTCTCTTCACAGTGGCTGGTAAGGGGCTGTGTATTGGATGAGTGCTGAACATAGGGTTGATCATACAGAGATGTTTTTGTTACTCATGTGTTGGAGACAGAATATCCCTTTCATCAGCTGGGATCACCTATCCCAGCTGCGTCTACTCCCATGCACTCCCAGCCCCTCGCCAGCATGGCTGTACAAAAATCAGAAAAGGCCTTGGCTCTGTGTAAGCCCTGCTCAGCAATAACAAAAACATCTCTGTATGATCAACCCTGGGTTCAGCACTCATCCAATACACAGCCCCATACCCTCCACTGTGAAGAGAATTAACTCTACCCCAGCCAAAACCAGCACAATGGGGCTAGTGCATGGGTAGGGTTCTGTGCCTTTCTATCTCACGATATTAAAAACAAACAAAAAAATCAAGCACCCTTTTCTCAGTATTTTTACATTTCTGGTCTCTGCATCCCCTGTGGCATCTCCCAGCTCACTTAGGTGAGTTGGACAGGTGCAAGTTTTTTCTGCTCACATCTGCAGCAAGAGAGGCTGTTGTTTACAACCCACAGTGACTGACTTGTAACTCAGTGGGAGATGAATATGAGAAAATGGACTTGGAACAGGCTGCCCAGAGAGGTGGTAGAGTCAGCATCCCTGGAGATGTTCAACAAACACAGTTTCTTGAAAAAAGCTAACACTGATTTTAGACTATGAATAGCACCATGTTAGTCTTGGAAAATGTTAGAATTTTAATGCAAAAGGTGAATCACCTGAAGAATAGGTAGCAAACACTTCATCAGGAACAGTACAAGGTATGCACTCTTGCACGATCTTCTTTGTGATGGTAATTGTTGTTCTCTCTTAAAATTCCTACATTTCTTTACTGCAGATTCTTTATAGACCTAACATAAGCAGTTTAACCACTACATTGCAGAACTGAGCAATGCTCCTTAACAGCAAATTAACAGGACAGCAGAAATACCATGAACAAATGGTACAAGATGAGCTCCAGTACCCACAGACAATACTGGTATTTTATTTGATTTCATTATAAATATTTTAGCACAGAAAAGTTAAACCTAAAATGCACCCAAGTGACCAATGAGTGAGGAACACCAATTGTCCTTTTTCTCCATTGCACCGTGCTTTGTACAATCGTTTACAGAATATAAGCAGCCAGAGCGAGGCGAATGTTTATAGAAGACTGATTGGTAGCATTTTGTGGAGGTTTTGTCAGGATGTGGAGTGATGGTGTAGTTTGCAAAGCAGTTGCATTTTTTGATGCATTTTAATAGTAATTCTCAAAGAGTTTGAGAAAGAAAATGTTCAAAGCTCAAAATTACAAGTGAGGCCACAAGAGGAGTGATGACATCAAGGTGAATAGTGGCACCTGCTCTGGTTAGTTTTCAACCAAAGCTAACTCCCATGCCATGGGTAGGATCAACTGTTCCTCAATTTTTCTCAATTTTTGCAGGAGGCAGACATAAGAATATTTCTTTTTAAGTTTGGTACATGAACAGTAAAGAACATTCCAATTCTTTCTGGACATAAAATGTGTAAATGTTACAAATACATATTTTTGTTGTCAATTTATATGCAGTGGCTGTATAGAAATTATTAATACAATTATGTAAAACAGATATAAGTGTCTGAAGAATAGATGGTTGTTTTAAAAAAAATTAATTCAAATAATTTTATTAGCTCAGGTATCTTCAGTGCACTTTTTTCGGTAATGTGGATATTAATCTTTAAAACTATTGGTAGACAGAATAAAATAAATGGGAAAACCTTTGTAGAGAACAATAAAAATAGCTTTGCTTTCATGTAGGTGTAGTCCTCTCTTATACTGGAGAAGTTGTCCCTGCCAAATTTCCCTGGGACAAGGATAATATATGGCATAATGGATTATGCACGGTCCAGAACACTGTCAGACAGGCTTAAAAAGGAATGGAAGTTTCTGCTGCTGAGGCCACAGAATAAAGAGGTTTGGCATGATTGACTCCTGGCTGTTTCTAATGTAAGGACCTCTAGCAAATTTCAGTTTGATTTTGCATGCCAGTATTTTTAGAAAATTGGCTTTTGTAAACACTTGTGAAAGACACATTTCCTTCAGAAAACTGCAGCTTAGAGAAGCTTGAAAATGTTGCCACACTTCATAAACTATGTCATCACAGGCAGAAATACAATTTAAGAAATTAGATCTCTAATCCAATGCCTTAGTTATTATGGTCTGAACTTTCATAATGTTGTATTAGATTGCTTGTTTACAGTTTATTTTTTTGGTCAGAAAAATAAAATCATTCCTTTACTACTAATATAATTTCAGTTCTTTGCCATACATGTATAATTGTAGAGAAAAATTGATTTGTTGCTTTCCAATGTTTAAAATATGAATGTGTAACATCTGTCCATCAAATACCTACTCACACTGATTACTAGAAAACATTAGAATTCTGGAAGGCTGGTTTGATGTTCTCCTTCATAATTCTTCTGTGTATTAAAACAAACAACCTCAGCACCCTCCCCCCCCCATGTTCTTCCATGCACCTTTTCTCATTAAAACAAGTGATTTTTAAAAGTACCATGACTTGTCACTACAGTTTTGCCAGCCTGTTCAGAATTGGGTTTTGATGTCCTTATAAAATAAACCGCTCTTCTGCCTCTTAGAGCTTTTTGTTTGTGTTGTAAGTGGAAATAATGCTGTTTGGCAGATCTCTCTTCAAGTTCTTTGAAAACATGTAGTTAATTGGGAATACACAAAAACAAGGGCTCCAGTAAATGCAACCTTCAGTTGCTAACAGCTTCACCCAGTGCTGGGAGGGGGCACACAGCTTTGCTGGGCGGGTCTGAAAAGCACTGATCCATTTCTCAGGTTCCTGTCACTTTTAGCACATATTTGTTAGGCAGCTAGTTGAACTGCCTTTTATTGTGTGCATGATGACACTTTTCACAAAACCTTTGTAAAGGGGAGTAGTTTGCATGTCCATAAGAATACCCCTTCATCCTTTCTACTTTATTTACTTCCTAAACAAAAAACAAAAACAAGCAGAAATTGAACAGGTTTTTTATTTAATACCATCTTATTTAGAGTGAAACTTACCCTGTGCTTTTTCTTTTAATAGCTAAGGTTGGTCGTTTTTCGACCTTTGTCAAAGGCCCTTTATTGGAAGCAAAGTCACACATTCAGAAAGTAAATTGGGTGTTGAGAACAGATGCCATTGCAGAGCTATTTGTGTTCTCACTGACCTACCTTTAATTGCAGCAAAGTCTTTACTGCATTCACATCTGAGGTAAACCAGGACGAACTTCAGCACCTGTTGTCTCACCAGCTTTCTCACATTTTGACAGCATTCAGAATACACTCTGTGCTTTCCAAATAAAGATTCTATAAAATAAGACAAGGGGCAGGTAGAAGAGAGACATACATAATGCAAAAACCTCAGTATAATTCAACTGCATCTATTTAACTTTTGATATACCATGG